GACTGTTTCGCCATGTATTGAGGGTCTTAACAGTGTCGGGCAATATGGTGTAGTGAAAGTTCTACTGTGGAACACACCCATAGATAATAAATCATATAGATACGCCACTGTCACATATTTGACGCTCCTTGTTACGCACACTCGGCCCGCTATGCCGCTAGTGTACCCGCCTGACATTTATTGGTTTTAGGTTATGGTTTTAATTTAGGTTATCCTGTCAAATTTTGACAGTCAAAATAGTAAAAAATAAAAGGCCTGATAGTTTATTTAAATTGTTTATTTGAAAAGCAAAAATAAATGTATTATATTTTAAATTATTCAAGGTATTTACTAAACTAAACCAATTAACAATAGGTATAATAATGTATTCAATGAATGAATTTTATCTTATTAAAGAACACAAATCAGTATAAAGTAATAATATTATGTACCACATTTGTGTAAGTACCTTGTTTTAATAAAATAGTTATAATTGAATAATACAATACAACCTTGTCATCATTGTGAAAAGTATGCATCATAACTTGACTGTTAGAGCAGCCCACAGCACAGCACAACACCATGTTAATGTTCAAATAATGTAGCAATATATAAAAAATAGAGTACACAGATAACGATAAATCGCAATTATAAAAGTTTTTAAGCGTACAGAACAAACCAAATAAACACAATATGAATTTACAAAACTTTACAAAATTTATCAAACTGAAGTTTGTTGATTTCGTTACCAAGCAACCGTCAAGATTAACCGCCGCTCCTGCCACATGCAACTCGAGTGTAAACTAAAACCAAAGTCGACTAGACAAAAATTTGGATTTTGTTTGTTTAAGGCGAGTGCACAGGGCATGAACACACCTTAAACAAACAGATATCTCATCTTATATACACCTAATCGTAAGCTAACTAAGGCGAGATGTAAGAAAACGTCATTGTCTAATGACGTGGCGTGAGTGTTCGAAGCGCCATTCTCGGCAATTTTATGAATGCAAATTTTACATTTTAAATTTTAAAGTAACATTTTAAATTTCTTAAATGAACAAATTTAAAGTTTTGGATTAAAGAGCAACTAAACGTTAATTTAATAGTTTTTTTAGGTAATCCTAAAAATTTCAGTAGTTGATTCAACAAATTCCAGCTATTAAATCAAAGTACGATAAACATTTTAATTCAAAATATTAGTTTATGTTAAATTAATATTTAAACTGTCAAATGAACAAATAAACTTTGACAAACTCTGACTTTTGCTTTAACACCAAAATATAGATTAATCCAATAGGTTTTTTGTTGAAACAACATTTTTTAAAATGACATTTAGGCAAATGTTAACTCAACTACATTATTTTTTTCGGTGTAGTTGAAAATGTGCGACTGTAGGAATACCACCAGAAATTGTGAACGAGGCCACAAGGGCTACAATATTTTTTTTCCTTCAAAATCAAAATTTAAGTTTACCCCGAATGCAAGCAACGCAAATGGGACATAATTATGTCCCAATATGGGTATTTCCACGAAACCTTACATCTCCTTTACAAAAAATCAGATGTGTTATTTAACAAAATAACAACTATATCTGAAGTCAAATAGATTAATTGCGACGTAATTTATACCTTAAAATATTCGTACACTGTGATGCTAAGAATAAACACGGAAGAGTTTCAATACTCGATAAAATGTTCAAATGTCGCACCCGTTACATTTTGAGAAAATTTTAGAGAATAAAGTATAGAATATATGTGCATTTAAAATACATGCTTGTTTAAGGTTACTATTCAAGTTTTACACAAAAAATTATTACTACATGCTTTCATCCAAAATTTTACAGCATTAAATTTAGAAGCCAACTTGGTCGCATTTGTAGATCCCGGTCTCGGTTTTCTATACAAGTTTTTATTGACATTTTGTTTGAGTTAAATACCTAATTTTTTATACTATTTTTTAATATTAACGTATCTTGATATATATGAAGAAACACTTTATTATCATGAAAAAAGGCAGTTTTAGTGTCGCACCCGTTACAATGGAAATACCCATATGTTAACACCCACTTGGACTCGCTCAGAGTTTTCTGGTGTTCTGTTGGTCTTACAGGCACCTATTCCCTATTTCGGCGTTGTGTTCAAATTTATTTATCCAACTATTAATAAATTTTACTGATGAAGGATGATCGGCTGAGAAAAATCTATGCGCGGTGATTAAAGAACTTTAGTTTTTGTATGCATACAAAATGATTTTCCAAAGGATGACGCGCAGTCTCATTTCTTAGTTACTTTAAATATAAAAACGAAATTGGACAAATTGGTCGCGAGAACCTGTATTACGGTATGAAAAGGTTTTATGAGGTTAATAGCGCAAATAAATTTATAACTTTTGTCCATTTTTGTCCATTTTCTACACAAGGTTCCTTTTTTTAGAGTACTTTAAGATTAGAATACTGGTTTTTCTAAAGAATTATTAGTTTAATTCTTTGAATTTAAAAAATATTTTTTTCCAAAATTAGCAGATAAAAGGATTTTCATAATCGCTGCTTGAACGTACAACCTTTATAATATATATTATATTTAATAATATATTATAAACTTGCAATAACATAACAAATTTTATATCATTTTAAAGCTTATGAAACCAGACTTTATTTAAGCTAGAACAACTTTTTGAAATGGTTCAAATTTTGACAACAAATTCTAAATTCTAAAATATTGGAAAAAATATGTTTTTTAAACCTATTATTTTTCTTTAATTACTGTAAAATAGCTTTAGAAACCAGTTTAAAAATAAAATTCGTTATTGTAGATCAATTTTTAGGCAATCACTGAAACCAGGATAACATTATTTTTATGTGGATATTAAATAATACTCTTATTTTATTAGCAACTTTTATTAATTATAATTACTGAAAATATATCTTCCTATTTAGATAAAATATTCTTCCGCCATTTATCATGCCTTTCCTAGCAACAGCTATTATCTGGTAAGAAATAAGTCAGATTAAAAAAATTAAACGTCAGATTTAAACGTCATTTGAAATACATACGTTTTTTCGGTTTTTCAATTTTGTAAAATATTGCTTATAAATTTAAAATAAGCATCACTCGACAAAAAAATATTACGTCCGATTTGTCGTAAATTACTCCCTTGATAAATTTCTTTTCTCGCATATTCGCTCGTTTTAAAATCATTGGGAGTACTATGTAGTATTCCATGCTTAGTAAACCATACAAGGGGCACCAAGTTTTCTTCTATGTATGGGTACCTTTTATATTCGAAGATCTACAAGATCGGTATAATTAGAGAAAAATTATGGAAAAAAATCAGCAGTTTTTAATAAATAAAAAAATAACTGAAAAAACCAAAAATCGTTATTTTTCGAAATTAAAGAAAATTTACTTGTGAACATGCACATTTTATCAAATTTGTGATTTTTTTTTGCCAACTAGATTCCAGTTAAAATTTTACATGGTTAGATAAAAAAAATTAAGGAATCCAATAATTATACAAACAAAAGATAGTGGTACCTTAAAATATAGTATCGAAGAAATTGGATAAAAATGTAGATTAATGTGTATGTTAATACGTAAAACTTGGTTTTTTTAAATTCCCAGGAATAACGAAGTTATAATGATTTTTAATGTCACCCTAAAGATGCCTACTATAACATTTTTTTATGTCCCACCACGTGACTGTCTTTTGAAAATTTGGCTTTTAAGGCTTTTCAGGTTATGTATATGTCAAAATATAGTCAACGAAAGAAATAATATTATGTTTAGGAGTAAAAGATGTATAAATCTTTATAGCATTACAATAACAATGGTTAGTTTAAAAATTTAGGAATATAAATACTGCATTTAATGAAATCCGATTGTCCAAAAGACGACCCTAATATTTTTAGAATTTTATATTAGGCATCTGTCGGGTGACATAACAAACAATTTTGACAGCTTACATGTAGTTTTTTATTTTCTATCTTTTGAGCATTTGTTTATTAAAATCGAGTAGTCTTAAATGGGCCACACGGTATATAAAATGCACCGTGCTCGACAAAAGGATTTCCAATCTTTTTTGCGGTGAGCCTATCCGTACAATAAAAAATATTGTACCTATGCCCCCTATTAATTTTTTTTATTTTTGAAAATCAACTGAATAAATTAATGAACACAATAAACACAAATTATCTCAATAGGCACTCCCCACTGTTTAGGAAGTTTTGATTTAAAGAATTAAAAATGAATAAAATCAAACAATTTTTATATTTGTTTTATTCGCTAAAATTGTGTACAAAAATAATTTATTTATTAAGCTAAAATATAAAAAATGTAGTAGTAAGCAAAATATATTGCTTCAGCATATCGACGTATGTTCTATAAAATATACGGCTATAATATTTTTAAATGTACTGCCAAATTGAATCGTAAAGTAAGAAAGCCGGCAGCATATAATATAAATCAGCCACACTTTTGACTTCTAAAATTTACCACCCTGCATGCTAGAAAAAATAAATATTTCGCACGTTTAATACAAGAGACATTTTATTGATATAATAAATTTTCCAGAAAGCATTATCGGTCTTAAAGTTGTAGCAACGAAGTTAAGTGAATGTTTGTTTTATAATAATTAAATTTTTAAAAGTGCTAACCTATAGGTATACCTGCAGGTTTATCTTTTCAATTCCGGTAGCTTTAACCAACATTTTTGTTCGTTTTACGACTTTTACTGTATAAAATTTATTGCATTATCCTACTTGACAATACAATAACGTGAAATAAAAAGTTTAATGTTGGTGGAGGTTTTAGTGGTTTTTAAAACTGTTTATTGGAAAAGATTACTTTGGGTATGTTTCGTATTGAGAAAATGTGTATTGGTTTAATTTTATAAGCAATACAAATTTCAAATACCCTTTTTACAAAAATAAATAAACCAATAAACCAAAAATATATTTTTTTAAACAAGAATAAAACCATACATATTGAATCTATAATTTTAATTGATTTATTTTTTTATTGCAGGCAGAGACAGCTTTAATGTACGATGCGGTTCATTTGTTTGCCAAGGCCCTACACGATTTGGATACGAGCCAGCAAATTGATATAAAACCCCTCAGCTGCGATGCCGTTGATTTTTGGCCTCATGGTTATAGCCTCATTAATTATATGAAAGTGGTAAGTTATAACAATTAAGAATTAAAACATTTATTAAAAACACGAATGATGATAAGCTAAAATAATAATAACCTTGAGGATACGCAAAAATAATAAGCTAAAATAATGAGTTATTAATGAAAGCTACACTGAAACTAATTTTGTGAGCAATTAAAAAAATAATAATATTTAACTTAAATTTAAAATTGTAATGGCTATAGAAAAATGTACCACCTAAGGTACCTTTTTTATTAAATTTTCAGTGTCTTATTGGGACAAAAACCTAGGATTTGTCAAAGAAATGAGATTACTTTTATTTACAGAATTGACTTTTTTTACTGTTAATAAAATTCTCATTTACTATAATGAAGCAGCAATGTTGAGCTTTTATAAAAAAAAGTTCATCCAACAAGGTAATAGTTGTTATCATATTGTCATGACAATAAATATATTAAATCTTTGTCGAACTTAAAATGTTTTTGTTAAATCTATAGTTGTGTGTGAATTACGCTTACATAAAGTAATGCGAAGTTGCTATAGTAAAATTTGTTTATTTTTCCACGGCATATTTGTCTTTTTTAAATTACTATCGTTGTAATTTAAATTAGTTTTATTACAGTTAGAAAATCTTTGTTAATAGCTTACGTTAAGAACAATAACAAAAATATTTTATTGCTATAAAAAGACTTTTTTAATATTAACTATTGTTTTGCAATGGTAACAAAATTTTTATTATATCCCTTAAAAAGAGGGGAAAGGGCCAGCGCTCTCCTTGGTGAACAACTTTATAATCCACAGTCTGTGTTATAAGTAATCTTATTGATTTCACTTGTGCGAGTGAAGTGTTGTAAAATCTATCTTGATAAAATATCAAAAAGATCACTAAGAAAATTAAAATTTCGACGTTTTCTAGAAGAAATATTTAAGGTCTACGAGTATTCTATAAACGAAGCAGACTTGTTTAAAAGTGAGTTCATATATTTTTTTTATTTTGTACATCATATATTATGAGTTTTTTTTGTTATAATAAATAATTTGTTTTAATGCCTTGCAATTATTTAAAAAAAAACTACCCAACACTTAACAGTAGGATGAAAATGTGACCATTGTTACAATGAAAATAGTTTATTGAATAAACAATTAATTTGTTCTTAAATTTACATACATTTTATCACACGTTCGGTGCCAGCGCTCGAGAAGACACGTCGCGTGCGGGAAAGCTTTTGAAACGTAAAAGTTTAAAGATGAAACCAACAATAATTAAAAAAAAATAAACTAATAAGTGAAACAAACATTTTCATAGAGTGCAAACTAAAATGGTGTAACGATCATTGAGGAGTGGAGTGTTGAGTGATATGAATGAATTGGGTACCACCTGTCATTGGAGGCTTTTCACTGGACGGACGGGGGAGGTCGGAGAAGAGGGGAGGTGGCCATCCGCAAAAAAAAAAAAAGCTGATAAGTTTTACTTTAAGAGTATGCATGACCTATTACAAATCTGCAATATAAATACGGCAGATCCCAGCAAGCATTTTCCGTTATTTGTCGCCATTAACATTGCCCGTATTCATTTTATTAAACATAACATTTATTTTACTTGAAAATGTTAAAATAACTTTAAAATATGTTTATGTTAAGAACATATTTTACTCTTTAAACAATTGTTTTGTTTTTAATTACTATCATTGCAAAATTGTATTAAAAAGTATTAAAAATTCTTACACGGGCAATGTTAATGGTGATAGGTATCGTTAAAGTGTTTATTGGGATATCTTTAAAACTTATGAAGGGCACGCGGCGTGGGGCAATAAGTCTGTCAACAGCAAATGCGTAAGGCGGTCCCAATCGAGACCGAAAATAAACACTGGACTCACAGAGTAAATAACATTGATCATAATTCTAACACATTAAAAAAAAGGGCCTAATAGCCAAACTCGTGATTTGTAAACATTAGACAACAGAATAATCGCGCTTGTGATTTGTTTGACGGAACTCTACCACAAAACGTGCTTGGGACAAAAATTATTAAAAACAACTGACACACTTTACCAAGGGCAGGAACTATCTGACCAGGACACGGACAATGACAATAACGAACAAGACAAAGACCTCGACTAGGAAACTACACATCTGCAGCGAAATAACAACTCCCCAACTCCAAATAGTAATCCCAAATGTTTGGAGAAATACTAATCGACTGGTCTAGGGGGATTCCGCGTCGTACTTAGTTTTAAGTCGGCGTAATTGTCCCCCAAAAACCAACACCCTCCCGTCCCTCCTCCATACCCCACTGAGCGTATAGCATAGGCTCGGCGAACCCGGGAAAGGCTATTAAAACTATTCGCCTCTCGCTCTCGAGCCCCAAATAGGGGACAGTACGGAACGCTATGGACATTCGCACCCAGCAAACACGGGTGAAGCCGTGCAGTTGCTGGGGAAGAACAAAAATCGGCGTAAGTAAACAGGCCTGTAAGGGGTTCGAGAGTCAAGAGGAAATGGGGCTGGTTATACGTCTCTTATACTCATACTCATACTCATACTCAAATTTACATACATTTTATTAATATTATAAAAAAAGTTTTATTTTAGACGAAAAGGAATTTGTAAAATTTACAAAATTTCTATGTAGGGTTTCATTAATACTATAAAACCTTTTTGTAAACGGTATAGAACTGTTTTTTTTTTTGGAAAAATAATAATAACGATATTTATCAATGCGTTTCTGCATCTGGAAGAGTGTTATTTTTATAAACGTAACGTAAATTTACTTTATAATTAATGCAAATTTATTACTGAAAGCAGCGTTTGTAGATAAATAATTTTTATAAAGTTTAATTTGGCTAATTTAAAGTAATTTTAACATTTTTACCATATTGTTGTCATATAGTTACAATTAGGAAAATTGCAGATCAATAAAGAAAATACCGGGCTCCTTGATTTTCGAAGTACTTTCATTAAAAAAATCCCTTGAAAAATTTAATTCGTTGCAGTTTTGGTACGAAAACAAAACAATATTCAATTCTTTTTTTCTTTGTTTTCATATTTTTAAAACCATTTTTGTGGTAGAATAGTTAAAGGCACAATGTTAATTTAAACTAGCCAGAGGGCTTTTAATGAAAATTAATATTTTGCTCGCATAAAATGGAAATACATACTGATATGGTATGTATGTAGTAATTTGCGTGTGTGTGAATTTTGAATGATTCTTAATAAGTTTAGTAATTACTATCACTCTAATAATATTTCGTCAATTAAAAATAAACAAAACCAAAAAATTTTCCCGAATTAGGCGTATATTTATTTTACGATATTTCACTGATATTTTATATCAGGCCTTTGCCCTGAATCGTTTATAAAATAAATAAATAAATCGTGTTTTAAATAAATCTACTATACAATGCTTTTTCTTTCTTTATGGAATTTGGAATGTTTTTATCATAGTCACAATAATATATGTAATACATGATATATTAAATTATTTTGAATTATTTAAATTGTTTTGATTATTTTAATTAATTTATTAGTTTTTAATTTTACTTACCTCAAGTGCGTAATTCCCAACTAGTTCCACAGATTTTATACGTATTTATATATGGATTTTTGTATATTTGTAATTTTGTATAATTGTAATTGCGTGTAGATATCTTCAGTCTAGTCTACTAAGCTGAATAAATGTAATATATGGATGTCGTCCTTAGTTATAAGTAATTCCTATTTTTAGAGTATTTGTAATGTATTTTTAACAACTTTTTTTGTCTGTATTTTTTAACAATTTTTTTATGGCTGTACCTATACACAAACAAATGATATAATCATTTAAGTGTATTTTAGCATATTTTTTGAATTACTTTTTACAATTCTTCCTATTTTAATTATTATGTATTTGTAAACTGATTCAATAAATATTATTATTATTATTATTATTATTATATACAATACTAGTGATGCCGCGAGACGAGACTCGTCTCGTCTCGTCTCGTGCAGCGAGAAAAAATGGGTCTCTCGTCTCGTCGAGAATACTCTTTTCTCGCTCGAGAGTGCCTTTATCTCGTCTCGTCTCGTTTCTCTCGTGGTAAAAGTAGCTATGTATAAATACAAAAATTATTTGAAAACATAGCTCCAATTAATTTATTTTTACTCCGCCACTGGGATTCGTAGAAATTTGAAATTTTTCGAGTAGTTTAGGGTGGCCAAAACTATGCTTGATAGGAATAATAAAAGAAAGTTAAAAAACAAAATGTGAAAAAACAAGAACGGATGTTTTTTATGTTAAATCTGTAATTATAAACAACACGAAATAAAAATTATCAAAATCCATTGTTATCCAAGTTATTTTTGCACATTGTTTTATTTTTATTTAGGTTGAGATGAGAGGACTCACTGGCGTCATTAAATTTGATCATCAAGGATTCAGGAGCGACTTCGTCCTTGATATAATCGAACTAAGTCGCGAGGGGCTCAAGAAAATTGGCACCTGGAATTCGACGGAGGGAGTTAATTTTACCAGAACGTACGGGGAAGCCTACACGCAAATAGTTGAGATAATTCAAAACAAAACCTTCGTTGTCACCACAATTTTGGTAAGTGAAATTAGATAACTTTTCGTAAATTAAAATAATTATTTTAATACAAAATCATGTCTTAAGTTTGATTGCACATTACATTTCACCTTTTATGTATTCTTGGGTAAAAAAACTTTTGTTTTTTACTATTACAACTGCTTTTTTATATATTTAAAACAAAAACATATTACATATGTAATATAATGTAAAGAGTATGTATATTTAAAACAAACTAATTTACATATGTAATATGTAAAGAGTATGATATACAATATATGCAGTGATGGGCAAGAATCCGGTATATTGAAATTTAGGTAAATACCCAAGGTATGTATCCTGTATGTACCCAATGGGTAAATTCAGCGCCCTAAAGCACAAAAATTGTCTTGTTTCCACTTTTAGGAGTAAATTTACCACACACATAAGTAACGAGTGGGAAGAATTAACACATTTGTATAACATTTTGTATTAGCAAAAAAGTAAACTATTACTTTTTTGCTAATACAAAATGTATTAATTTTACTAACCAGACTCTCCGATAACACGTAGGTTTACAGTGAACATAATATTATTACCGTTGAGTGAAGGAGTCATTTATTAATCAATGCTAATACGAATCGCTATTTGAGGTATCTTTGATTTTTTAGTGTTGTATACCTAGTGTAATTAGTAAAAACTCACCTCTTTACTATTACCTACAAAGCAGTAGCGACACAAACAGTTGAACTGTTAGTTCCCAGCCACAACTTAACCTCATTACTAAAACCTATAAATCATAAAAGCTCAAAACCAAGTAAACAATAAAAATAAAGCCAAACAGTAAACCAAAAATGGTTTGTTCTGTAACCAAAATATTTGATTATAATCTCCTTGGCAATGGGTAATAAAATAAGACGTAGCCAAATTCTAATGCTAAAAAACATTTTTATAAAATTAAAAAAATAATACTTCTTTTTATTATTAATACTGAAAAACATAATTAATATAATTCTTTATAAATTTTGCGATATATAATATATATAATTACATCTGACAACACGGCCCCATGCATGTGCAAAACTGCTTAAGTAGCTAGCCCCTACTTTTACCCTATGAAAAGGAAACCTGAATCCAAAATGATTTGTATATGTGTGGTAAGTATTCACCCACCGCCCATGACTGATTAACAGTGAGCTCGTTAAAATCCCCCCCCCTGTTAACTTTTGAACCAAAGAAGATATCGATGTCGGACAAAAACCAGGGTAAACAATATTGTGTTTCCTACTTTTTTACATCAGTATGAAATTTTTTGCCGAACAAGTGCCAAGAGGGCAGTATCAACTTAAAAATTTCAAATGGAAAGGGGGTGCTTGTGATACCTCATTTCAAATATTAATTTAAATTGCATGAACAACTAACAATTTAATACTAAAGATATTAATTATTTTATTTTTGTATCTTCTTTAAAACAGGATATTGGTATGGGTATTTAAAACAAAAAAGTTGGCAAAAAACGCATAATTATTGCACTGGTTTGCAATAATTCGCACTCTGCGAAAATGTGAGTAGAAACGACAAAAATGCTTAATAAATAAGCTATGGTTAAACGGATTTTAAAAACAAAAAAAGTGTTATATAGAGAATTAAAATACCTTTCAAATGAGGTATCACAAGCACCCCCTTTCCATTTAAAATTTTCAAGTTGATACTGCCCTCTTGGCACTTGTTAGGCAAAAAAATTTCATTTTGACATCAAAAAGTAGTAAACACAATATAGTTTACCCTGGTTTTTGTCCGACATCGATATCCTATTTGGTTCAAAAGTCAACAGGGGAGGATTTTAACGCGCTCACTGTATGTATAGTGAAGTATGACATTTATTTATATTCGCACAGCGAGAAGATGATTCATTCGGACCGAAAACATTACGAATGCCGAACCAAATTTATAATGAATTTTCACTATTACTATAGTATATACTATACTATAGTATATATACGTTTTTGTAGCGTATATGTTCTCAAATCGACCGTTTTTACTTAAGAAGTGTCAAAAAATCAAAACCATATACAACAGTTTAAAAATGCCAGTAAATTTAAAATATGACCTCTTAATGGAAAACCATATACAAGACAAATTTGTTTAGGATATTTTACGATTTAAAAAAAAAGGTTATTTACATGTCAAAGTTTAAAATCAAAAAAATAATATTACTATATAATTTTAAAGTTGGATTTTTTTCTTGGGTTTCATCATAGAGAAAGAATAAACCAAATGATGCTTCAGCTGTATGAACAAATAATAAAAATACAGTACTATATATTATATTATTTGTACTAAAATTTTGGTTTGAGAAATATGAAAGGAAATGAACCAAAATTCAAATTTTATGGTATTGTAGTCAAATCTAAATATTTAACAATAACTTTGGGCCCACTAGATCACCAGATTTGTTTTTGCCACCCATCTATATTAAACTACGCCCGACTATTCTGTTGTGGTATCTTAAGGATAAAGTTTTTGCCACTGTGCCCATAAAATTTTTTAGATATGTTTAACATTAAAATCAATACAAATTATTAATAATATTTTTGGGTTAAACCTAATCATAAATATCTTTTGGCGCTTTATACGATTCTACGTATATAATATTTAAAAATTAGCAACTTCAAAATAGCCTTAAATTAACAATAACTTTGGGCCCACTAGATCACCAGATTTGTTTTTGCCACCCATCTAGATTAAACTACGCCCGACTATTCTGTTGTGGTATCTTAAGGATAAAGTTTTTGCCACTGTGCCCATAAAATTTTTAGATATGTTTAACATTAAAATCAATACAAATTATTAATAATATTTTTGGGTTAAACCTAATCATAAATATCTTTTGGCGCTTTATACGATTCTACGTATATAATATTTAAAAATTAGCAACTTCAAAATAGCCTTAAATTTCTGATGATTGATTCAATGAAAATGAATAATTTTAAAACCCTGCTAATAATTAACTAGTAAGAAATAAAGAACGGATTATTTTTATAGATTACAAAATAATCTACAAAATTAACAAGGTGTTAAGAGCTCGTTTAACGGAGGTTGAAAGGTTAAAATTTGTATATTTGATATTGATATTGATATGTAGGTATAAAAACATGAACAGTTCATATGAATATAGGTTCTTAAATTTCTTAGGGCGGTCCAAAGGTGACCTACAAGTACTATAGTACTTTCTATTTTATTTCTTTGCAACCGCTTAAGTTACCGATGTGCGTCTCAGCACAATTTTATTGCACGTCAAAATTTTAAATTTTTACCCAAAAAAATTATTCCGAGGATATTTTAAGGTGGTTATAGTAAAAAATAATTGGGCTAATAGTTTAGTAGAAAAAACGGTTTATTTAAATCATTGCATAAACTATTATCGAATTATGTTTAAATTTAAAAGAGTTAATATTAAAATAATATGAACAAATTAACTTTTTTCATGTTTTCAAATGTTGAATATCCCCTTAAATTTTTATTTTATTAAGAAGATTATTATAATTTCTAATAATTAAAAACACATTTTTTTATATAAAAAAAGAAATAAGTAAACAAACAGCTTGCATTTTTTACATTAAATCTTACTTTTCTGTAAACAAATGGTTACAGAAATTGTAATTTTTCTGATTTTTTTATTTTTGGATTAAATATATTTTTAACCACTTTTATACTCGCATAAAAAAGATAATACTTTGAAAAAATGTATCCAAAATTTAATTTTAATTTATTAATTAAAAAATTAAATCAAAAACAAAACTTAAAGCAGGTCTAATAGCAGTGGCGTAGCGACAGTACCGCGAACGCCCGCCACCGTGGGGGGCCCTATCATAGGGGGCACCGGCCGATACTTTCCTCACAACATACTTATTTCCATCGTATTATCTCCAAGACAAAAACGTGACGCGACGCTTAAAAAATTATGGAAACACTGTCAAAGTTTAGACATTTAAAAAAGGCGCTAAAACATGTGGCCCCCTTTTTGTCACAGCACAGCACGGCAGAATCAAATAAATAAGCGACCGCTCACTAAGCCGGCCCAACACTAACCATCGCAATGCATTGCCGAGTGAACATATACGAAATTACTACTTAATTCATGTAAACTATACCTATTTCTAATTAGAGTTACAGGAATCTGCACTTAAGTCTATATTATAAAATTTAAATAAATTTAAAGAATTTTTCGTTGATAAATAATTTTTTTTATAAAAATAATAAAAATTTCATGTCACATGATTTTTTATTTTTTATTTACAATATAAAAACATGTGAAATCAGGGGGAACAGTAAAGATTTTCGCGGGGGGAAAGGGCAAAATTTGTCGCTACGCCAGTGACTACTAGTCATACTAGTCAAACTTTCTTATAATATATTATCAGATATGAGTTCATTATTAATTTATCTCTCCTGTTCTTATGAATAAAACATACAATTTTCTTTAAACATGCTTTTAAGAAACTTCTTCTTTTCAGAGTGCTCCCTATGTAATGCGTAAAGAGGCCAGTGAAAAATTGACCGGCAACGCACAGTTCGAGGGCTACGCTGTCGATCTCATCCACGAGATATCGCGTGTCTTAGGCTTCAACTACACCATCCGATTGACACCGGACGGTCAATACGGCTCCCAAAATCGCGAAACGAAAGAATGGAACGGAATGATTGGCGAATTGCTTAATCAAAAAGCCGATCTAGCGATAGCCGATCTCACTATAACTTACGAAAGAGAAAATGCCGTTGATTTTACCATGCCTTTTATGAATTTGGGAATCAGTATTTTGTATAGGAAACCAATTAAGCAACCACCCAATCTTTTCTCCTTCCTATCACCCTTGTCGTTGGACGTTTGGATATATATGGCAACCGCGTATTTGGGGGTGTCTGTACTTTTATTTATACTTGCGAGGTAATAATTCTATTATGTAATTAAAATTATAGTAATATTATTTTTCTGCAGCATAATTCTACTTAGAATTTTTTATGACTTGCAAAATTAAAATCTACATCTAAAAGTGCAAACTAAATATTGGTTTTTAGAACAAGTTCACGTTTGGATATTTTTTATTTTTTTTTTGTAAACTTGTTTTTAAATTGTTAAAAAATGTAATGTTGTACAGTTCATTACTCACAAACTGAATTACGACCAAACGATAAATACTGCCAAATTTAATATAGTTTTATATTTACCTTACTAGGTAGTTTATAAAATAATTAAAATTAGATGTTTAACAATAATTACCTTTATATGAGGATTAACTAAAAATTAATACATTTTGTCGCCTGTAATAAACTTTTAGGTTTACACCGTACGAGTGGCAGAATCCACACCCTTGTAATCCGAACCCGGACCACTTGGAGAATCAATTCACTTTGTTTAACTGCATGTGGTTCGCTATTGGTTCTCTAATGCAGCAGGGCTGCGATTTTCTTCCCAAGTAAGTAAATTAAAACTCAACCTAAGCACCGTTATGTGGTTGCAGGTTCAGCCCGTACGAATGGGACAACCCGCACCCATGCAACGATGAACCCGTCGTTCTCGAGAACCAATTCACGCTGTTGAATTCGCTCTGGTTTACCATCGGCTCATTGATGCAGCAAGGCTCCGACATTGCGCCAAAGTAAGTGCCGTGTCTGACATCATCTGTTTTCCAAATTTACACTATCTTCTATTTTCTCACATTTTTCTTTTGTCATTTATCTTGCTGTATCAAGAGTCGGCATCAGTAGCATTGATTTTACTATCATTGCATTTATGACCGTATGCAGAAACGCTTGTTAAGATTTAATGGGTCATGAAATTGTGGTACTATTAAAATTATATATTCATTGAGTGCCATTTTACTTAAGGGGTTACATACATTTGTGCTGGGTCAAAAAATCGATTTTTTATTGAATATTCTTACAATATATACTTTTAAGAATATGTACTTAAAATTTCATCAAGATAGGAGCAATAGAACTTATGTTATAGCAATTTATAGCGCGCTACCTCACAAACATTTAAAGGCAAATTGAATGAACTTTAAACGCGTTTATCTCGGAATCGTATTTTTTAAAAACTGCCGTTTCCGTGAGCATGATTTCTCGAAAACCAATTTACCGATATATCTGAAATTTGGAAGTGTTGTTCCTAATTACAATTCGGACGAAAATTTATATTTTTTTCGGCCAGAAAACTCAATTTTTGTACCCTCGAAAATTGATTATTTTGAGAAAATCACCGCCATTTGCTTAAACATTTTTTTTTGTACAAAACCCTTCGTTAACGAAGGGGGTGATACTATGTTCTAATATGGATTTTTTTCATTAAGATCTGTTTGGCGGTTTTCGATATTTATGCTCACCGCAAACGCTTGAAAAAAAAGACGTTTCGGGGCAAGGGCTGTACTTTCCACAATTGTCCATATTTTCGCATATTTTTTTTACCAATATAGTTCGTTTCAATATAAATATTATTATAAACAAAAAAAAATCACCAAAAAACGTTAATTTTTACGAGCTCATATGTATACCTATATGTAACTCCTTAAGTAACTATTATAAAATTTAAAGTTTAACACAAAATATAGTTTATTGTTTAAAAGGGCAAAAATTTGTTATTTATAAGTGCTAAAAATGAGAAATTATTTTGTGAAAAGTTTGGGACACAACGCCGAAGCTTCGAAGGCGGAGTGTCCCATTCCTTCAAATAAAATAAACCATATATCATTTAAATAGTATTTAATATATAAGTACTGTGCATACTATTTTTTCTACAAATACCATCAAAAGTATAAATTAACGCATTTCTTACGTTTGTTGACAAGTAAATTTTAATCTCGTGACATAAAAAGTAATCGAATGTAATACCACAAGATGTTCGATTTAGCAGGATATTTTATGACTTTTTACGAAAATTTGTGGGTTTTACGTTTTAATTTGACGAACAAAAATTTCTTATAGTCAAATTAATAAAACACCAAGTTTAAGTTAAAAGTCCAAAAATGTCCTGACAATCAAACCTCGAGTGGTATTTATTGAGAAAATTCCAAATATCACAAGAGAGTGTCATGAATTCGTAGGTATATTTTGTCGTTTAAAATACAGTTGTCGGCGTTTTTTTTAAGTACAAATATAAAAATATTCGATTTTAAGTTTGCCTGTACAACAATTATTGTTTGTTAGATTTCTTAAAAATGTCCAAACTTAAATATAAATTTTATTAGGTAAAGTTATCATTACTTAATTCTGCACCAGCAAATACACGTACCGTATTAAATCCTTTGGCAAAACAAAAGTTTTTTCGTTTTTACTTGCAACGCAGAACACAAATAACTTGCGCGATTTAGATGTACAATTAAACAAAATTTGTCGAAAGACTTCTGCCTTCCTATCTTATTCCTATTATTTAAAAATAATGTGCAGTTCGTATGCGAAAACCCAATGCTTCTTTAGCGTATATCATAAAATTTTATAATTTTAAAATTAAAATAAATATATACCAAATGTTGTCAAAAATTCTGCTTTATTGTTGACAATTATGTGTCAAGAGTAGGTCAATTTTGACAGTGCATAATTAGTATATTGTTTACTGAGCGTGGAATCATAGGAATTACTCCCGAAGATAAAAGTTTCCGAGTGAGCCGAAAGGCTAGTGAAGGAATTCATTAAGGAAGTAATTGCGATTCCACGCGAGGTAATAGTATATTGTTTACCGAGCGTGAAATCATAGCAATTACTATGAAAGTTTCCAAGCGAGCCGAAAGGCGAGTAAAGGAATTCATTTAGGGAGTAATTGCGATTCCTCGCGAGGTAAACACTATACTTTTTTGTCGAGTGAAATCGCTCACAAATACACAATTTGGGTAGCAGCAAAAAATACTTGTGTCAAAATTAAAATTTGATATTTACTTTAATTCTCAAGTTTACATTCAAAGTGAATCACACTGTAGCTTCGTCATGGTAGCGGAAGGGAATATAGTATATTACACTACAAGGGCCGAAAGTTGAATTTTCAGCGAAGCCTCGGGCATCATGACTCGCAGGACCGAGATTTAAACGTTTGGCCCTTGTGGTGTATACTATTTTTCTTCATACATCGGTCGAAAGTACTTACTTTCGTCCCTAATAGAGGGGACGAAAGTTTACCTCGGTCGAAAGTACTTTCGAACAAGGTATGAAGAAAAAACATTTCTTACCTGATAACAGGGAGGGAATGAAAATATATACAGGGAAATAAATAACATTTCTCACATCGAGAGAAATAATTATTAATAATTATTGTTTTTTTCTTCATACCTTGTTCGAAAGTACTAATAATTTATTAACAATTGCGAATACAATCGGCGCATTATTAACCACTCGACAATAAACACTATACATTTTGTCGAGTGCAATGGCTTAAAAATACACGCAGAAAAAATTGTGTCAAAATTAAAATCTGTCAATCACACTGTAGCGTTGTCATGGTAGCGGGAGGAAATTAAACATTTCTTACCTGATAACAGGAAGGGATTTTTTATAGCGAGAAAAATAAATGCAATCGCGTGGAGTCATAGCAATTACTCACGAAGATGAGTTTTGGAGCGAGCCGATAGGTGAGTGAAGGAATTCATTGAGATAGTAATTGCGATTCCACGGGAGGTAGACACTATACTTTTTGTCGAGTGAAATCGCTTATAAATACACAATTTGGGTACCCGCAAAAAAACTTGCGACAAAATTAAAATCTGACGTTTAATTTAATTCTGACGTTTACATTTAAAATGAAACATTATATCGTCGTTATGGTAGCGGGAGAAACTGATACCTGATACCTGATAACAAAAAGGAAATGAAAATTTATACAGGAAAAGGAATAAGATTGTTGACATCGGGAGAAATGAATGTCATTAATTATTAACAATTCGGCAATTCAACAAAAATAGCTATTTATATACCATGGGAGGAAAATAGTGCTTTTCCTCCCGCGAATAGTTTGATGCCCGACGCGAAGCGAAGGGCATTAAATATTCAAGGGAGGAAACGCATTTTCCTCCTGAGGTATGTATATAGTTTTTTCTATTACCTTTTAACAGTTTTAAGACATTTTAAGCGTTCCGGTTCCTTTTACTCACCCGGTATGAGGCTATAAAATTTTGACAAAATATTAAGTAGGTGTTGCGTTTTGTTGCTATGGTATTTTTGGTAATACAACCATAACACTTTTTATAAGCTGTCAGAATGTTTATCATAAATTTGAAATTCTTTCTACGTTTTGAAAATGAGTTCTAACGAAGATCTTGCTGAAGAGGCAAAAATAGTTGCAATTAATTTCCTTCCTTAAAAATCGATATAAAAATGAATATAGTTTGTTCAAAGAATGATTGGACAAGCGCGGAGAAAATTGTTAAAAAAAAGGAAGGAAATTTGTTTTCATCCCGGGGAGGATAAGAAGCATTTTCCTCCCTCGCTCGGGGGTGGAAAATTAAGTTTTCCAGTAAGGTAGTAAAAAAATTATTTTTTACACTCCTATTTTTGCACTGCAATTAAATCAGCATATAAAACTACCTAAATTAAATAATTTTTATTGAAGAAAACAATTAATTTAATTTTTATTGTTATTAATATTAATACTAACATAACAATTTAATCCTTAAAATAATTTTAAATGTTAATATTTTTACTAATTATAATTTTTTATAAAATTTTTATGGTATAAGAAAAAATAATACATGCAACTCGAATATAAAGCCACTTTAATGCACTTTGAGGTTCTTGAGTTCTTCACGTGCAAAAATGTGTCGCTTTATTATTCTCCCGAAGCTTGCGTAAGAATCATAGCTTCAAAAATAATTGTCACCATTGAAAGGTTTTCTATTCGCGGTAACGCAAAAAGTTTTTTCTACGACCACTATGTAAAAGTCACATTTCGTAATGGCATCGTTGCTTAGAAAATGAATCTTTTCATTGGCAAGGCAAAACACGAATGTAAAGTGACATTTTTGTGTGAAAAGTGACAGGTCTGTGTGAAAAGTGACAGGTCTGTCAAACACTTTTCAGGTTATTTTTTTTGTATTTGAAAATAATAAAAAATAAAAGGGTCGTAGAAAAAACATTGTGTTTCACTTGTGAGAAAAGCTTTCTTCAAGCTTGTGTTAATGCTCACTCGGCCTAACGGCCTTGTGAGCAACTAAAACACTCGCATGAAAAAGTCGCTTTTCAACACTTGTAAAACAAATAACTATTGTACACCATTTAATATATTTTCGGAAGCGATATTTATTTATACTACGCTTGTGGATTAAATTCACTTAAATAGGATTTTTTGTACGAAGTTTTTTTTGAGTAGATCCAACAGGAGACATTTTAATAATAAGTTTAGATAATTGAACTATCATTACTCTCTTAAAATGCAATAGTCAATTCTACTATTTGAATTAGTACCAGCATTTTTACTAATAAAGTCGTTTTCACT